TTTAACCATTAAAATTTTTTTATTTCTAAATTTAAAATTAAGACAATAAATTTATTGAATGGTGTATTAAAAGCCGCGTTATCGCGATGTACCGTCCATGGGTGGCTGATCGTAGATGTCATCGGATCAGAGTAATATAAATCAAACAGCCATGGATATGAAAAGATCAATCGGAGGATAACTCTATCTAATCCCTTGTAATCTAATACCTGTTATTGTAATATATAAGATAATTTTGCGATCACTTGGACACGTTTGTCGGTCTATTATATCGATACAAGACCATCCAGATATGGAGAAAAATGAAATTAGTGATATGAGTGAGTCACGGACTGAAAATTGTGTGGGAGGTTTTTGGATACGCGTGCTAAAGAGGAGTCTAAATGCTAAATAGATAGACGCCGTCGACTGATTGGCATGCTCCCACACGGTTTATTCTTGGTGCCTGTGCTGTGCTGGCGCATCAACTTTACGTTGTTCGTGTCAAGAATATTTTGAATGAGACGCCAGCACTACACTGAGCTATGTATGTAAGCAATGTTTATTGCCGGAGGATGTATGTAACAGTGATGGAGGATAAATAAAAATAAAAAAAATTCAAGGGAATACGTGACGATTCGTTAGCTCAGCTTGACGTCTTGTAAGTTTAACCATGCAAATAAACGCCGGTAATTAGAATTCGTAGCGAAGCTTAATCGGTTGTCTAGTCGGAAAGAGTATTTTTTTCATTTTTTGTACATTTTTTAAGAAAAACTTTCAAAAATATACTTTGAAAAAAAGTTTACTTTATTTCAGAAAATTAAAAGAAATAGTCAAGAAATTTTTCTTTCTCTGTATTTAAAAAAAGTATCATATAAATATATTTTTAAGAGCAACCTTTTTATGAAAAAAATTTAGATAAAAAATATTATAAATTATTTAAAAAAAATATTTTACAGTTTAAAATAAATTTCTTCTCTACATTTTGTAGTTTTTTTTTTTTCGTACGAAAAAAAAAGGACAAAGATTTAAAGATTTTCCGCCCCTTCGGTTTCACCAGCTCTGGAAAATGGAAATGAAAATTCCGGGAAAGGTCACGTGTTGGGTTTGGGTTTTGTCGGTTCAAAACTTGTTTTTAACAGATGTCGGTCTTCCTCTCGTACCCAGCCAAAGATCTAGCACAGTAAATAAGAGAGAGCAGATAATATTATAGAAACCCTTAGAAATTTTTGACTATTTTTAGTAGGACAGTGCTCGCTAATGCGGATGTCTGTAAAAACGTGTGATGAATTTTTTTAAGCACCACCAGACTTCAATAAATCTTTCTAGATCAGAGTCTGAGGGGTTATCAAGGCCTAGATCTACACTGTCACTTTTATATCAAACAAGCCGTTTGTGAGAAATAATAAATTTTAATTATAAAATTATACTTCGGGTAGTTAAGAAACTACTGCTAATTAACGTTGACTTTAATTTTTAGTTTTGGGAATTAACACCGACTTTCTCCCACGAATTTATTCAAATCTCAGATTTATTACAGATGCAAGGATTTAAAAAATTAATCAGAATGTTTTTTAAATAACTCTTAATCTTCTTGTCTGGAGAAATATCTATTTTTTTATTTTTTAATTTAAACCAGCAAAGTTTAATTTTCTTCTGGATGAATTACGTGAAAATTTTTTCGCTGCAATAAATAACTTCATAGATGTTCATCTGTCGATAATTAAATTGTCCCGACGATTATTATTTGACAAGTAATTTATTATCCTTGAAAAAAGTATAATTTGAGTTTGAAGACCGATAAATCAGCAAAAAATCACTGAGCTACCTTTTAAAAAGTCTTCATTCGGAAGAAAAGAAGCTAGTTGATGGATAAAGAGGTCTTAAACTTCCTTGGCTATTTTTTTTTTAGTTATTATTGTTGTAAAATTAATGCCTAAAAATTTTAGTTTTTAAGTTTCCAATTTTCCTATAATTTTTTATATTAATTATAAAAATAGAAAAAAGTTTTTTGTAAAATATTCAAAACTTTTATATTAATATTTAATAATTTTATGTTAAATTTTGAACACTTTTCTATTAAATGAAATGCAAAAGTCTAAAAATTTGAATCTAAAATTTTTTATCTGCATAATTAAAAAAAAAAAGAACTTAATCTTAAAATTTTCACCTTAAAAACTTCAAAAATTTTGCGTAAAAAAATTTTTGTGTTAAAAATTTAACATAAAAATATAAAAAAATTTTTTTTTTACTGTCTAAAAATTTCAAATTTTACCATACTTATTTTAACATTAATATTTTAATATTTTTCCACCATAAATACGCTTATTACCACAAGCATAAATATGCAAGATGAAGTATGTCTCCATATATATATATATAATACACATGGAGTAATCTTGTGAAGAAAGATCCTTACTAACCATTATTTCGTCGGTACATCTTTCTTTTATCTTCTTGGATCCAAGGCTGTGTAAATAAAAGGGATTACACGGATAGGAGTGTGCGTCATATTACAAGAGGACACCGTAAACTTTGACCCCCTAAGGCGAGTCGTATTTGACAGCAGCCACTGCAAACTGTACTGTGAATCTTCTTCGGTGAGATTATTAAACTGAGTCTTCATATATTAAAGGAGGAGAGTACGAAGCTATGTATGTATTGAAGTATGAGTTTCATACGTATACTGTACCTAGAGAGAGGGAGATGCTGGACTGGATATAGATAGTATATATATAATATATAGTATATTGTATAGTAGGATAGTCCAGAATAATAAGAATAAGGAGAATCAGCGAGTACAATATCTCGGAACAAGGAGGGAGGGACCCCCGTCGCGTTATAGCATTTGTCAGAAGGTGTTCGCGATACAACCAAACGTCCCTCTCCAGATCTCCAGACCTCCAGTTCCAGAGTAGAGGCCTCTATACTATGTTTTACTTGTATTGGGTTCTCGGTACCTTTTCTCATGGCCGCTCTCTCACGTTTGGTTCAACTTCTCGTTTTGTCTTATTTATTCTTTTATCTTCGGAAGGATTGCAAGATAGGGAAGAAAGGAGAAAAGAAGAGTATTTGTAGAGTACATGCACGGTCTATACAATGTGGAGCGACTTACTTCGGTTAGGGGCCATTAATCCTCGCGGCACCAAATACCCATCAAATATAAATGTATCTGTAGTTTCTTAGACAAAAAGAAAAATTTTTTGAGATTAAAATTCTTGGATCAAGAAAATTTTCGGGTGCCTGAAGGAAGAACGAAGTTGTGTTGGCTGAAGTAAAAATTTTTCGAGAAATTCTATTCTTGGTGGAAGTTATTTTTTCTTAATTCAGATCTTAAATACTTGATACAATAAATTTTTATATTTGATAAAGATTTTTAGATACTTTAGGGAAGCAGCGCCACCCACTTCAGCTGAGAAAAAAATTTTCTCTTGAATATTTGATACTCATTTTATATTATTTTAGCGTGCTATTATACATATTGAATGAAAAAAAATGATGAAATATTATTTGATCTTCCCATTTGACATGTTAATCAATAAAAATATTAATGAAAATTTACTTCTATTTTTATATTTAATTTTTTGGAGCAAGAGAGAAATTATTTCAAGACAAGAAAATTTACTTTTATCAAGAATAAAAGTTTTTGAAGCAAGAGGCTGAATTTTCTCAAAACAACAAGATTTTCTTGACCTAAATAAATTTTCTTGGATCAAGATATGTATTTTTCAAAGCAAGAGGATTAATTTTGTTGGAATAAGTGAAATTTCTTGTCAAAAAAAAATTTTTTTTTCGCTCAAGAAAATAATTAGGAAGTAAAATATTTTCTTGGCTCAAATGAACCTTTTCTACTGTGTACAGTTATTATTTTCTGTGCCTTCAATTAATAAGAAGTCTTTATACTAAACATCGAGCTTAGTGTTCAATAATGTAATGTAAATGTAAATGAAACAAGAATAGAAAAGAAGAAAGAGATATCTTTTGTCTAAACTTAACGGGGACTTATTGATTGATGGGCATAAAGTTGCCCAATCAGTTCTCGGATATATTGTTTGTAATTAATCATTCATTTGTGTGATATAGTAAATTAAAGTAATCATTATTATTTCATTTTTAAACAATGCATACAATTTTTTGGAGAGAAAAGTAGCGACTAAGCCGTAACTCGAACCGGCGAGGTAGTACAGGCCTCTAAACTTGATTTTTCTACAGAAGAAGTGGAAAAGACAAACTAGTAGAAAATTCAATTTCCTACAAAAAAGTTTCTGAGCACCAAGTCGCTAAAATCAAAATTTTCAGAGTTGGTATGGAACGACATGTTTATTTTTACCAAATATCAATAATCAAACACCAAATATGGTATACGCCGATCACATCCTGTACTATTTTGTACACTATGAAAAACGCCCTCCTAAAAATAAACAACATTTGGAATTTTCTGAATTATACTACGCCAGTTTGTTAGACTCAACTGTACGTTGCTCATCAAAAGAACGATTTTTGTGGTTTGAGTTTTAAAAAAAATGAACAAAGAAGCAATAATTTATATATTCGGTACTTTATGTATTTTGGTAAGTCAAAAAAATTATATCAATAAACAATTAAATTTTTTTGAGGCGATTTAATGGCTGCCTTTAAATCAAAGTAAAATATAATAATTAACAAACAAAATTTTTTTAATGAATCAAACTAACTTTAACAAGTTTGAGAAAAATGCTATTGAAAAAAAAATCGTTCATCGTAAAATTAGCACCTGGGCCTTAATAGTACGACAACTAACTCAAGAAAAAACATTTTATGAATATTAATAAAATAATTAATTTTATGGTCATAGTATTTAACGTACTCTGTAGTAATTAAAAATTTTACGATATCTATCGATTAAATGGGTACGTACACATATATTTATTAACAAGTAAGTGTGTATTATAGGTCTTGACAATTTAATTTTTATAATTGAGGATGATTTTTGGCATAGAAGGGGAGTCCACTCTTTCCGTCTTGAAGGATATGAGTTGTTAATGTTCTTGAGTATAAGCCCCCTAAGTACGGTGATGACCATTATTTTATACATTTGTTTGATAAAGCGTCTTGTAAAGTGGACTTATGTATTACTGGAGTGTGTTTCTGACATGAAAAAAGAACTTGATTCTAAAGTTATAGTTACACCAGTATTAACTCTAGAATCTGATCTCAAGGGTAGTGTGACTTCAGAATTATGCAAAGAACAAAAGTGATTATCATTTTGTGATACGGTGATGCAGATTTTGGCACAATAATACAATAAGTGCCTTAATACACAGTAAGTGTATAGGATTTAATACATTAGGCACAAATTCAGAATGACTTTTTTTTCTGTATAGGTACAAATTTTTTGAATAATTCCTTGATCGAATATAATTCTTAATAAAAAGTTTTTATAATTTACTCTGTTTTTATTTATTAGTCATAGTAATGGTAATGCGGAATTTTAGTCTAAGTCTACTTAAAATAAATGTAATATGATGATTCTTTATATCCAAAGTTGATTAACTTGTTCCTGCTTGTGGTTTTATCTCGAAACTCTTACTCTTACTCTTGGGTTATTTTAGTTTTTTAGTTAGTATCTCTGTAGCAGAGGCTACACGTGCAATCCCCTCACATCCATAATTGCGTAATGGCACAAGCCACGCTTTTATGTCTCAATTACACCGATGGATTCTTGGACGGCAAGATTTATGGATCGAAATTACAACGTGCCGATCGAAATTATACCTTCCTACACCTCCGACGCTTCAGCGTTTTTAGTATTATATCAAATAACCAATATACGTATATATGTACACATATATACATATGGAGAAATATATAGGTATTTTTTCTGGTGATTTACATATTTTTTATTGCTACTCAAATCTTATTTCTGCCGTTCAATAACTTTATTCGCGGCCGTGAACTGTACAATTAATTTTTTAAGTTTATGTGCGAATTTTTTACTGTAAGATTTAAAGAGATAATTAAAGGGACGAAAATTGGCTTTAATGCAACATTTTTAAATAAATAATTCAAGAAATTAATTAAAAAATATATTTAATTACTTTTAGGAAAAAAGAACTAAAAATTTGAGTTTAGTAGTTCGCTAAATGTTGCTAGATGGCGGCGTGCTTCTCGCAACTAATACTGATTTTTGTTTCAGTCTATAGGAAGCCTTACTGATCAACCAAGAAAATTAAAAATTATACTTTATAAAAATAAAAAAAAGTTTGAAAGTTTAAACAGAAAAAAATCATTACCAAAAAATAAAAAATTACTAAATATTAATAAAATAATAAATAATTTTTATTTTTTCACATATTCTGCCCAAAAATGAATTTCCGTTTCTGTCCTCTCAAGAGCATATAAATAAACAGAAAAAAATAAATTAACAATTAAAAAAATGAACCTGCGTTTTATTTCTACGCCAGCTCGTGGAAGTTACATGACTCTCGCGTTTAATCGTCTCATTAATTCTGGACTGGATCAGCGTGCGACGTTGTAAACTGGCTCTTTCAACGAACTCATCATCGGCCTGATACTCATAGTCGGCTCTACTCTCTATACATCCACTAGCAGGTAAAAAAAAAAAAAGATTAAAAAAACCCGTAAAAAAAATCCGATGTATAAATTTGAATAAAAATATTATCTCCCGTTCAAAGAATCGTAACCGCATCCGGTTTAAATTATTGCCGATGACTGGAGATTGTTGTGCTTTCGATGGCTATAGTCTGGATAAGTATATTGAGTATTATATTATCTTATAATATATTTTATCGGTCTGTAGTGGCAAGTAAACCTGGATCAAGTATATATAGTATATAGTATGTACAATAATGTAAGAAGAGAAGTATTGAGGATTATAAGTAAAGGAGTTTATGACCACGCCCCATCGACGCCTCTCGGCCGACCCAATCCTGACCAAGATCGCGATTATTCTCCAGGATGTATAGTTATAAGTTGCTTCTGATCTTCGGTTATCTTCGTCTCGCTCAATCGCGATCTCGATAACTTTGTCTGCGACTATCTCCGTCCTTTTATCCGTAAGGTCTATCGCGGGTTGAAGTGCCGGGAAACAAGAGGCATGATTGCTTCATTAGGACCAGCTCTCAGCTGAGTAGTCGACCTCAGGCTTACCTTTACTTTGTGATCCTGCTTGCGATTAAATTAAATCCCCATTGTTTTTATCATGGGATAAATAAAGCAGAAATTTTTTATTAAATTTGGGGGATTTTTTTTTTAGTTTGAAATTTTTATAATTATTTATTTATCTTTTTGAAAAAGAGTTACATAATTTTAAAATTGATATACAATATATAAATTTTTACATTATTATAAATAAATATTTATTAGATACAAAATAATTTGTGCAATAGGATAAAATAATATTGATTATATCAAATACATTTTGTAGCTAAAATTAGTGACAAGACAGCGGCCAAAGGCCATTTATTAATAATTAATAATATTTAAAAACAATTTATTTAACATTCCATAATTTAAAATAAATAATCATAACATTCTAGGGTATACAGAAAAATTGGGAAAATAAGAAAGTAAAATAAAGTCAATTACAGAGAAAAAAAAATTCTTGACGATAAGGTAAATTTTTTTGAGAAAAAAATGAAATTTAGTTTTTCCTTAAAATTTCTTGCTGTAATAAATTTTTTTTGGGTATTTTATTAAAATATATAAAATATAAGAAATTAATAAGTCATTTATAAAAAAGAAGATCGATTGAAATCAAATAATTTTGTAATTTTGAATTTTTTTTAAACGTATATAGTAAGTTAATAAATAATTTATAATGAAAAAGATGGAAAATTTTAATTATGAATTGTAAATATTTAAAAAAATTGAAATGGAAAATTATATATAAATCAAGTACATACATATGACACAGTTGATTTAATTTTTTTATTTATTTATGATTTAATGCCAAGGCAATGGCCAAATAGCAAAGTTTACATTTCAATTTTATTAAAGTACACGTAATGAGTTACAAAAATATTATTATATTGTTTTACAATTTCATTTAGAATATTTTTCTGAGAGTATTTTTCATGATTTTTTACAGTAATAAAAAAATAAATTTAATTAAAAAAAAATGAGTCAATAAAATAATTTTGATCATTTAAAATCACCTTGAAAAACCTTTAGTTTTTTTTTTAATTTTACTTGAATCAAGTAAAAAATTCTGAAGAACTTAATCTTCTTGATTTGATTTAATTTAAATTTAATTTGATTTAAAAATTTTTCATATTGATTCAAAACAATGAACCTTTTAAAAATAATTTTCTTGGTTCAAGAATTTTTCTCTTAATTTTTTTTTCCAGTGTATTAAATGAAATAGTTTGAACCAAAGTGATCCAAAGTGAAGAAAGCAAATACCAACATCCTCACAGATATTAATCTTAATAAAGGTTAACTCCTCTCAATTAGACCAACAGTTAGGCGCTATAAATTAATTTATAACTTCTGGCTCCAATTGTCTTATTACACACAATACATTATATTACATTAACCGGGTCCCAGATTACTTATTCTTATTACTTATTACTCTCCTCTCCCCCATACCCAGTGATTCTCCCATAAGAAAAGCGAGTAAAGCGAGGGTTAACATGCACTCGATCAGAGCCACGGGCGTGTTTCGCGCCAAGATCGACCCGATAGAGCACTTTGGTACACGAGTAGCGGCGCCGGTATCGACCCCGGAGCATCTCTTTCTCTGTACTGGAGAAAATCCAGATAAACCTCCTTACGAACCAAGACGAAGACAGAGAACAAGAAAAATAAGACGTAGAGAACCCTTTGGTTGCCTGTTGCCTGCGGCATGTGTTAACCAGCGGCGCCGACGCATCGATTCGACACATCCTGTTTGTTTCACCGCGCAAGCAATAACTCTTGGACGTGGACACATACCTTATACACTACTTATATCTTAGTGCTTTTACTTATTCTGCCCCTCTCCTGTTATGTCTCTTCAGACTTCTTTCGAGCAACATTTAAGTTAAACAAGGACGGACAGAATTGTGGGATTAAGATTAACAGATGATATTTCTATTTTAAAAATAAAAGATACGGTCCCACTCCCCCGGATACCTGCGCCACTGTCCCCAGCGTGAAACTTGTCACTGGGTAAACGAAATAAAACCCGTGTGTTAACTTTCTTGGGCAGAGGCCTCTATATAATGCTCTATACCCACACGTGTATACATCAGCGCGAAACTAACATAACAGAATAAAAGTACAATCCAAATACAAATAAAAGGTGTCTCAAGACCGAGCAGAGATCCAAGATGGCCGTGGAGGGACTTAGACTGTGGGTGTTGAAAACCCGGCTTCGAAGGCCGTTTGTTATGTATATACATACACATACATCTTATTATATTTATATATATATGTGTTCTGTGGCAGAGCGCTCTTTTAAATCCCGATGAATAACGCCCGCATTATTGTTCATCGTTATTCTCTTTGCTTTACATTAGTGAAGGGACTGCTTTTTCGCGAGCAGATTGTTCCATGTCAAGGCATCGAATAAAGAAACGTTTAGGACACACTCGCTGGAAATTCAATTTTTTGTTTGCTCCAGGGGATAGTCAAAGGAGACTCACTCATAATGGATCTATTATGAGATGTAAGGTGGGATGAAAAGTCTTTCGTGCAAGGTTCCTTTCAGAATACGATTGTTGAATTGCAGGGTCGGGCTCTGGGGGGTAGAAGTGTCATGTGTCACTTTTCAGGATTTTTCCTGGGAGAAATTATATCTTCTGTAAAATTTATTATTGTTGAAAAGGTTTTGGGAACTAAATTGGGATGTCATTCTTAGGCTTGAGTTTTTTCAATTTGCAAGGATTAAAATTTGTAGTGTTTTTTTCAAAGGAAAGATGTGGTAAGTTTTTATGGGAAATATGAAAATTTATGATTATTTTCTTTTTTCAATTTTAATATCGGAACACTAGGCACGCGGGCATGTAAAAACAGGGTGGCGATTGACATGGAAAACCTGGAAAGGTCAGGGAATTTGAAATTTCGGGAATAGTCAGTGAAAAGTCAGGGAGTTTTAACTTGGGTCAGGGAAATTTCTAGTTTATTTTAAAAAAACACCATTCGGCCACACCCGAAATGGAAGGTAGATATCACTGAATGAAATTCTTGATAGAATGACGTACATAAGTCGGTTGTACTACACATTATCTAAAAATGGTTCAATTGGACTTAAATT